CTTGAAATCACCCTGGGCTGGCAGGACTGCTTACAGATCAGGTGGAAGCCATAACACCTGGCTAATCAAATCCCCATCCAAGGAAGTCAGGGAGCCGGGACAGGCACCATTTGGGGTAATCAAGTATGGATATGTTTTGTGACCCAGCTCTGTTCCAAAGTCCTGGGCACTCCTGCCCTCTTTGCGGAACTACACATCTCTAGACCTGGCTATTCTGGAACTGACTCTTCTCTCATGCCTTAAGTGTCCACTTTATTCAGGGTCTCAATCCCAAGGCAGAATGACTTCGTGGGGGTGGTAGCACTGCGTGGCTGGAGCTTGCCTCCAGGTCACCGGCACCGAGCAGCTGACAGGGTCTTGGGAAGAGACAGCAGCAGCTGCAGTAAAGTCCCTCCCTGCCCTTGTCTTGTGCCACTCAGAGCAGAATGAAGAGTCTCAACAGCTGAGCTCTCATTTGGCGCTCCATGACCTAAAAGTTTGCCCACCTAAGCCTCTCCAGCCCCAAAGAGCTCAGGAAACCAGAACTAAAGGTAGGAAGTAAAGACGGGGGCTAGGGAGAGGTCCCCAACATGCCTTGGTGTTGCCATCCCGTTCACACACCCCAGGCTGGCATCACACCAGCTGCCCTTTCTGTCACTTTACTAGCTTTCCCTCCAGCCACCCCGAATGGGAAGGGGCACCCTGCCAGCTCTGTGGAACTGCCTCCCAGATAGGCTCGGGCTGGCGGACACAACCCACCCAGACACATACTCACACACACACACTCAGAGAAGCACTTACAGCCCCTTCCTCCTTGGCAGGAGGGCCAGGCTTTGGCAGAGTTTTGTCCTCCTCTTTGACCTGAGGGAGCAGACCAAGAAGTCACTGGTAGGTCAGAGGTTAGGGTGGGGAGACCCTGCAATAAAAGCATGGAAGGAAAACATCCAAGGAGTCCTGGGGACACAGACGTGGGCAACAGATCTCCTATCCTGGGGTCAAAGTTGTCCAGCAGCAACTTCAAGGATGAGGAGTCTCTGTGGCGGAGGGGGGAGCTAAAGCCAAGCACTCTTGCCCTCAGCGACCAGCCACGTGGCCCCCTTGGGCTGTCTAAAGAGGTCCCCCTATAAGAGCAATATTATGGTCATGGTTCCAGGGTGAAAGATCCAGCTAATTCAACTCAGGCTAAACTACAAGAGCCATTCCGAGCTCAGACAGGACGTGGTCTGAAGCCCCTGACCTGGGACAGAGCGGGAAGGGATGACCCCAGTGTGGGGGCCTGCTGAGCCCCCAGAGCTCAGTGTAGGGGGAGTGGCTGACTGGCCCCTATCAGGCTGGCTTAGGCTTGCTTCTGGGTCTGTATGACTTCCCCCAGCACAAAGCCTGAGTGTCTTCCCAACCAGGCAGCTGAATTCTGGCTGGAGGCAGGAAGTGGCGCAGAGGCAGGGATTCAGGAAGCCAGATACCTCCCCAACCCCAGACCCACAAAACTCTGCCAATCAGGCAGCCTAGGAAGGCAAACCCAAGGTTTGGGGTTGGGTGTGGAGGAAGGAAAGACACTTGGGCTCTGGGGTTAGTGCCCAGCCCGGGAGCTGGCTGGCCCGAGGCAGAGGCGGGGAGCAGAGTTGGGGGCAAACGGCAGATACCGCAATGTATCTGGGAAAAGGACAGACAATGTGGCTGCTCTGATGGTTCTTTCAGTTCAGAGACTGGCTCAGAAGAGACACAGAGGGCCAGGCCTCGAGTCTAGGAGAGCCTCTCCCCCTCCCCTTCACTGGCCTCTCTCTCCCAAAGCTCAGGCAGTCTCGGTGGGTTTCATTTCTCTTCTTCTTCCAGCCACTTAGGACTACAGGAAAAAAACAGGTCTGCTACCAGCCCTACCTTATCCTCAGCATGACTCTTTCCCAGCACAGTTGGGGAAGGAGCATGAGAAGGAGTCCTTGATTCCTACTGGAAAAGATCCTTAGAAACTCATCCAGAATCATTTTAATTATCCACCTGGGGGGATTGTCCATTTGTAACCAGGGTTCATGGCTAATTTTGAGCTCTAATTAGCAGTGCCCGGGGCACTGACCAGCATGATGGCCACTGTAGTTTTAAAGCTAATAGCCCATAGAGCTATTTTCAATGGGCTCAAGCTTTTCAAAGTTAGTTCACACTGCCAGGGTCAGAGAGAAAATGGCAATTATTCATCAGCATGGACTCCACTACTTTAGAAATTGGGACTGGAGCAGAGAAAAGGAAGGGAGGGGCTGGTGGAGAGGAAAAGAAGAGTGGGAGAGCCAGGTCTGTGCTTGCTGCCCCCACAAATGCCCATCACTCACCCCCATCACACCGTGCATCAGCTTCCCGGCATACAGGTTAGAGAGACGGCAAGTGTTCACACACCACCCAGACACACTCGTTACTGCACACAGTGCTGTTAGCGTGGGCTCAGGGATGACCCAGATTCCAAGTTCACTCCGTGTCCTTCACCAGCTTCAAAGCTGCTCTCCTTCCAGTGGCTCGAGCATGGGACTCCCAAGGGTCTTACCCAAGTGGTGAGGCATTGGGGGAAACACTGGCTGCCCCTGAAATGTCTGGGACACTAGGCCCAGCTCTGAGCTCAGCTCTGGATTTAGCCTGAGGCTGACTCACCCCCAACCAAAGGGTTCTGTCTGCTGTAGGTCACTGCCCAGCTGGGGACTGTGCACAGCACAAAGGCACGCCCAGGTCTGCCGCCAGAATCACCCTCTGGACCCAGTCAGCCAACTGGCCTGTCTCCCCACTCTTGGCTCTTCTCCTTCTACCCATCACAGCCCACAGACTTGGGGAGACCCAGTTCCGAGCCCTCAGAGCCAAAGCCATTCCTGGCGGCCCCTTTACAGCAGCTCCCATTCCCGGGCGTGAGTCAGAGCAGCAGCAGGGTGGGAAGGGTGCAGAGGGGTTAACTTGGAGGAGCACCAGAGGGACAAAAGGCAGCTCAGCTTACTAGAGGTGGAGCTCAGGGGAGGAGCATGACTCAGCGCAGGAGCCCATCCAGACACAAGGGTGAGTTCACGGACCCCATGGTCATTCTCCCCAGCCCCCAAAGACACACACCTGCCCCCAATCCATCGCTAAGCTTCCAAAGCTTGCTCTCTCATAAGCCAGTCTCCTGCCTGCACACACCATGCCAAGCATATAGGAAAAGCATAAAGATTTTGAAATACAACTTTCCTTTTGCTCCCAGAAGGCGAACCTTGATGAAAAGGCCATGGTGCCGGAAATGGCCCACACCCTGGGTCAGAGAAGAAATGAGGGGGCAGGGTCTCTCAGGGACTCGGAGTCTTCCTAAAGGCCAGGACCTGCCAGGACAAACACTGTGGGCAACAGAGGAAAGGAGAGATGGAGTAGTGAGGGAATGAATACAGAGCTCAAAAGTTAAGGAGAAGGAGTAAGGAATAAAATACTAGAGGAGAGGAAAGGCAAGGTGGGGTACAGAACACAGACCTTCCTGCCTTTGGAAGCTGTGTGCCCTTGAATAAGCCACTTCACCTCTCTGGGCCTCTCTGTGGAATTAGTGGATGGACTAGTTCAGATAACAAACAGCTAAAGTCTTTTCCAGGTCTGGCATCCTAGAAGTCTGGGTAGGGGCAGCCACACAAGCCCTTAATTCACTGAACCAAAGTGGGCCCAGAGAGGGGATTAAGGAAGCTGCTGTAGGACTCCGGTGGCTGTGCCTTTTACCTGCAACTCACCAGCACCTGCCAGGGGCAAGAAGCCTGGAGAACTGCATGGTCACCCTGTCCAGGAATTAGAAACCAGAGCTGGTCCTCTTGAAACTCAAGAGGCAGAATCTGCCTCAGCCCAGAGTCAGCCCAGGGAGAGGCTTCATCTCAAGAATCCATTCAAGTCAGTGGAGTTTAAGAACTGGTTCATTCTTACTAATTCTTTTATTTTTGGGGGAGGGGGCAGTGGGTATGTAGTAATTAGGTATAGGGATTTATTTTTAGTGGAGGTACTAGGGATTGAACCCAGGACCTCGTGCATGCTAGGCATGTGCTCTACCACTGAGCTTCCCTTCCCCCTAGAACTGGCTCATTCTTATTATTACTTACCACGAATTGATAGCAAAAAAAAAAACAAAAACAAAAACCCACAGTTTTATTTTCAATGAATTATTTTTAACTTGTTTTGTTGACTTTTTTATGCTATTATCCAGTTCACATGATAGACTTTAAGTCTGTTTGTTTGTTTAATTAACTCATTCATTCTTTGATGTCCTGCTCCAGTTTTCCTCTGTGTCCAGGGAGAGGCCCACCTACCCAAGGCTGCAGGGACACCAGGACACTCACACCAGCCCGTTCCTCTGCACAGCTGTTCCTGATGAGTGTCACTCTGGACACAAATGTGGGTTTCTCCCTGCAGGAAGGTCTCTCTGTGGCTTCTGTGCAGAACTGTCTGGGTCTGTTGCCTCTCTTCCTTATTACTGGGTTTTAACTAAGATTTGCTCAGGCTCAAGAATAACCTATCTTTATCCAACATGGCGAGGAATACAGGTCCCAAAGATGGTGCAATATCTTCGCTACAATCACCCTGGCGGCTGAGAACTACAGGTCTGTGGAGCAAGGGTGCTTGGGAGCCAAAGCCTCTGCCCCCTGCCCTGTTCTCTCTCTGGAGAGTTCAGACACTTCCAACAATAGTAAGTGCTGAATATGGAACACCTAGAATGAGATGTACCCTGTAAAGTTGTTTAACATATATATTTTTTTACTTTTTAAAAAACTATTTTTCAAACATTTTTTATTGAATTATAATCATTTACAATGCTGTGTCAAATTCCAGTGTAGAGCACAATTTTTCAGTTATACAAGAACACATATATATTCATTGTCACATTTTTTTCTCTGTGAGCTACCATAAGATCTTGTATATATTTCCCTGTGCTATACAGTATAATCTTGTTTATCTATTCTACATTTTGAAATCCCAGTCTGTCCCTCCCCACCCACCCCTAACATATATTTTTGAATATAAATGTTACAACAGCCTCATGACATGGGAATTATTATTATTCCCATTTTACTGATGAGGAAAAAATCTCAGAAAGAGATTAACTCACAAAGCTGGTAAGTGCTTCAGAGCTGGGATTTGAACCCAAGTGGCTCTGACTGCAAAGCCGGTGCTGCTCCGTTGGAGGCCCACCATTTCTGCTGTGTTAGGTCAGAGGGGCTGAGGCATCCTTAGCAGCCAGCTCTGGTTAAGTTCCTCAGCAGCGAAGGGGTTCAGGAGGTCTGGCTCGAGCCAGAGCACAGATTGATAGTGTGGCGTTTACTAGTGTTCAGCGTGCCCAAATGGAGTTTCTAAACTAGCAAAGGGGAGACCTCACCATGACCCCACCACTCCCTGAGGCTCTGACCACCTCCTCCCTCCCTCGCACTTCTGGCCTTTTCTCTTCATGGAGGGGAAGAGAAACCAATGCTCACTGGATTCTCACTGGGAGTCAGGCACAGTGGTAGGTACGTCACATTGTGTCCTCATCAAATCCTCACAACAACCCACTTTCTAGGTAAAGAAATTGAGAAGGCGAGTATCTTGCTGAGGGTCCCCCAGCTGGTAAGTGGCAGCACTGGGATTCACAACCAGGGTGGATCTTGGGCAGCTGTCTGTGTGTCTATGACATTCCCTGGACTGTGATTTCCTCGCTGCCAGGACTCTGTTTCACTCATCATACTGCGGGCACTTAGTAAATGCTTGCTGCCTAGAGGAGCTGCAAAGGGGGTTCTCTGCACAAACCTCTTACTCCCAGCTAGACTCTTCCACCAGCTGTAAATTATGGAGAGTAAGATTTGTCCATCCTGATACCCAGGGATGTGGGAAAAACAAGGGAGGTCGAATCTCTAAACTTAGCAACAGTAAGTAGATATAAACCCAATTGCCATGGGGATGAGGGGGAGGGCAGGACACTCTGAAATTGCTTAGTAGCTCTTTGTGGAACAACAATAGCCATAAAATACATCATCCTCTGGCCCGGCTGTCCCACCTTCAGGAATGGATAAGCAATGAGCTGACTTAAAGAAAGGAAGAGAATACCCTCACAGACCCATGCAAAGACTTAAAGATGCACCGTATATAATAAACCTAAATTGGAAACAATGAACTCCCAAGAATTAGGGAGGGGGTAAGTAAACTATGTTACTTCACTACAATACACTGTTATGTTGCTATTTAAACTAATAAATATGTGGACAATGTAACCAACCATACGGAAAACTCCTAAAATAACATCAATCAAAAAAACCCAAACTGGTAGTAATGTTCTAAAAGCTGGTGCACTGAGTTAGTAAATACTGAACCATTGCTTCTGGGGGAAATATGTATATATTTCTCACATAGATTACAATCTTAATCCTAAAACAACTCATCCTGGTAAATTCTGTTTTATTTCACAAAAGTAAAAATGCTATAACTATCTCAAAAAGTTCCATTTTTTTTAAAAGTGAAAATGAGGTTCAGAAGTGTTAAGTGACTTGCCTGAGGCCACCCCACTAGCAGGTGCCAAAGTTGGGATTCAAACCCTGTCCAACTGGCCCCAGAGCTGGAATTTCTTGCACTACATCGTATTGCACTACTGGCTCTGTCTTCTGGTTATCTTTGTATAAGAGCTGAAACAAGAAGGCAGAGTGGAGCCTTTTGACTAACTTAACTTAAAACAAACAAACAGAACACAACCCTACAACTAAATAGTAAACAGTGGTCATAATGATCTCATAAGTTGTGCAAATTAGGCACACTAGAGACAGCTGGTATTCATTTTACATATTTGTTACTTACTGTTTATTTCTATTATAAGGATGGCTAAATAATCAATAAAAAAGAAACAGCAGAGGAGATAATAGCTAAAGGCATTTGTTGTCAAAGAGAAAGCCAAGAACTGTGCTGAGGGGCCCATCCACACTCAGCCCCCAAGACTCCCCACTCTCCAGGGGCTGGGTCAGGCTGGGTTCCACCTTCTGCATAGCCATCAAGGACCATCAGCCCTTCACTTTCCATCTTCTGTGCCCCTCACAGGAGGGAACAGGAGTGCACAAATGCCCCCAAGAGAATCATTCCACCCACCAGGCACCCCTCAGGCACAGAATGCCCAGCCTGGACAAATGCACCGAGGCCCAAGTGTCCATGCCAGATGTCCACCCACTGGGAGCCCCCAAGGGCAGCGGGTACCCTGAGAAAGAGTGTCTAGAGGAAGAGAAGATCCCATGGCCTGTGGCCAAGGGAACTT